CGGCTTTTGAGTGGAAAGAAGCCAACTTTTGCTTATTTTGAGATTTTTTCCAGTGCTTTTGGCAGTTACCGAAGAAGGCTATCATTTCTAATGGTTTCAGGTTAGCTCTTTTCTATAAACCCATGCATTTTTTCTTTAATTTTTGGTTTTATACTTATTTTCTCTCTCTATTTTTGCAGTGTGAAATTTTGGTAAAATATTTAAACAAGTAGAGGAGATAGAGCATTGACTAGCCTAAGAAATCCTGCAACCTCAATTTCATCTTTCTTTGGATCGCCAACACTTTTTAACAAAGAGTTTTTTTAGATGCAGAATCAGTAGCAATGAGTCCAACCTTGATTCTTGACACGAAGAACTCATCAAATTCTGCTAACCATTTTGGCTATGATAAAAAATTTGTCAAAATCCTCAATCCCATCTCCTAATTCTTGAAATAAACAAGACTCAGAAGCCATTGGACTTGCCATGGTTGATTCAATGAATGATGAGAAAAACGATGCGGAGGACATCTCAAAGCCAATTAGTAGAATGGTTCTTTTTGCATAAAAATTTAAGGTTCAAATTCCAAACCTTGTCCCCTCTTCGATTTCTCCAGTCGAAGAATTGCTTGAATCTCCAAGTGATCTTGGAATCAAGACTAGGTACTCTCAGTTGATGAGTCCTTTTTCTAGGTAGCTTTCTGGGGACTACACTTGTGTGATCACTCACGGACCTAATCCCAAAACGACACACATTTTCTATGATTGCATTGTTGAAAGTTGCTGTGGTATTATCCTAATTTGTCTGATATCAAAAGGGATTGTGAATTTGAAGCCAATTTTTCAGTTTCTACATCTATGAATTCTCTCAGGTGTCATACTTGCAAAAACAGTGTTGGAGATGGCAAAGATGTTTGCATGGACAGGTTGGTCAAGTTTTTCCCCCTTGATTTGTGTCTATGGTTTAAGCTCTTAGATAAGGTTTGTCACTATACCACCAACTATGAATGTTTTTAACTTCATCCTTGTAGCTAGATCAAGATTTGTGTCTCAATCCAATACAACAATGCATCACAACTATGGATGTTATGTTTCCACATCAACGTAGTTGAGAGTGACGTTGATAAGATTAGTAAGGTTCTAAAGAACCAGTTTAAATCTGGGATGTGGTTACGGATAAATTAAATTGCTGTGATTTTAACGTATCAGATAGAACAAACTATTCATCCACGGGCTCGCTGCTTCTCTATACTCGACACAAATAAATCAATGTGAATCCGTCTTATTTTGAATCTTCTTATTTACCATGCTTTAAAGTTGACTCTTTGCATAAAAGTTTGAATATTGATCTCTGTCTTGGCATATAGTATCTTCAATTTCTTCCCAAGTTTGTCAATTTCTTTTACTTTAACTATTTTTTTAAATCCAATTCTTCATTGTTACTCACAGGACCCAAAAGGTGGATATGGTGGCTGACCAGGCCAAGTAGATTAACCGCAGTACAATTGAAAATGTCAGATACTTTGCATTCTATGCTATTGTCTGCAATCTCATCCCCCTTCACTCTTCATGCACTTCTCTGTGTTTATCAGCATATATGTATGTGTGTATTTACACATGTTAATTGTGTTAAATGGATTTATGAATTTCTGAGTGACAGAAGCAGGAAAGGAAACTGTGATTGGCTGCTCAATTCGCCAAGGCAAGTATCGTATTGTACTCTCCTTTTCACACCTATTTGGTTCTTCTATTCACTAAATATCTTCTACCATTTGTACCTTTTCTACATTTAGTTATGATTTTTATATTTATTTTCATGAGATTGTTCCAACACAAACACTACGTACAAGAGTGAGGCTGAGATGGGAAACCAGCAGGAAAAGACGAGATGGGTGAATGTCTTCGCTGAGCCTGGTGATCCAAAATATGCTTTCATGCAAGATTTTATTTCCTCTAAACCTCATGTACCTTTTTAGAGAAAAAACCCCAAATGGTCACTGAATTTTGCCCAAAGTCTCTAAGAAGGTCACCGAACTTCAAATCGTTCCTAAGTAGTCACTGAACTTAGCTCGAAGTCCCCTAAGAGGTCACTGAACTTCAAAACGTCCCTAAATAATCACTGAACTTTGCAAAAAGTTCCTAGGGGCTCACTGAAGTTTGCAAATTATTGAACTTTGCAAAGATGAATGGGGTCCTAATTTGCAAACCTCAGTGACGCCCTAGGAACTCTTTGCAAAGTTCAGTGACCATTTAGAGACGTTTTGAAGTTCAGTGATCTCCTGAGAGACTTTGGGCAAAGTTCAGTGACTACTTAGGGACGTTTTGAAGTTCAGTGACCTTTTGAGAGACTTCGAGCAAAGTTAAGTGACCATTTGGGGTTTTAACCCACCTTTTCACATAAAAGGTTTATAAAGACGTGCTTGCTTAATGAAGGATTTCCTTTTGAGCTGTTGCCTTTACATATACAGGAGAAAGGTCTATTTGTGTTTTAAGTACTTGCACAAGTTGGATAAAACTTGTACTGTTTTCGTTTGTCTCTCATTTTTTTTTCCCCAGTAACCTGATTGTCCTTATTCCACATGTAAAATAATTTCTTGTCTTTTGGAATGATTTAACTGAATAAGTCTTTCTGCATGCTCAATAAAGGAAAATCCACCCCAGTTCAGACGTAGCAAACATTGAGTTGATCATGTAATTCATGAGAATCCAAAACATTTGTCACACTAACATTACCTTCAAAATAACCCATCCTGTGCATTGCATGGGCCAAGACTAGTATTATGATATAGATAAATATAAAATTGTGCTCTTCAAGAATAGCAAAATAGTGTTTGTCAACAATGTTGATATAATATAAAGTTGTGTTATACATGAGAAACAACAAAATAATAAAATGAAATATAGATATGAACATGATGCTTCTTTCGGAGCATAATAGTCTTCTAAAGCATTTATATAACGTGGTTCGCATTTCTTCAAAAACATCAATACCATATTTGTCTAGAATAAATATAAATTTGGTCATGTGTCTTCAAGAGCATAAACATCTTTAAATATTATAATAAATAATCTTTCATGATTTGGTACATAATGACAAAACTTCAATGAATGAACTTGTAGTAGAAAGGGAGCAAATAAATTGAATTATTTTTCAAATTTAATAGATGTAGAAATCTTCAAGTGGCCAAGTTCAATTTATTTCTTTTTTTGTAAGATTTATACTTTCCACCACAACAAGAACTTCTCGTGTTTCTTTGAACGGAAATAAAAGAATTCAGTTAGTTACATATTCGTGCTTTTCTTTGAATGCAAAAGGGCTTAGGGTCCGTTTGATTGCAAGAATAGAATTTGGGTGGAAATAAAACGAATTCCAAGGAATTTAATTGCATAGAGCTTGTTTTTTTGGGAATTGTCAATTAATGTGTTTGATTGGTATAATTTTTCACCTGAAAAATGTTGAAAGTTTCTATTTTTTGGTGTTCATTTGACTTTATTTTTCTTAAAAATTGTCAATTAAAAGAACAAAATTTGTTACAATTGAGGATAGAATTTGTTCCAATTGTAAAAAAAAAAGAAAAAAAAAGGCCAGTTGGAACACCAATTCCATGGGTTTGGTGGGAATTGATTTTCCTAAAAATCAAGGAAATTGCACATGTGTGGAGGGAAGAAGGAAAACAAATTGCCAAGAAAATAATTGCCATCAAACTATCAAAAGTTTGAAACCATGGAAAACATGCCAAATCAAGCAGGCCTCTAGTTAGCTAAAACTTTGTGTTGATAATTTATTATAAACTAGATAAAGAATTAGACGTCAATAAATTTGTATGTATTTTATTGATAATCAAAATATTTATAGGGATGAATCGTCATCATAGGGAATATAATACTCATAATAACTAAGGCTGCAGTGATATAATAATCATTCTATCCTTAGTATATAATTTAATTTTTTAGCAAGCCTTGCTTTTCGGAGCTACTCCCAGCTTACACTATGGTAGAGGAGGCGCTGTGAAGATCTAGGAGTACGAGTATCACGAGTTAAAAGGCTCCCATACTGTTTGGAGGGCAACGGTCATCGATGACTCGACCCCTACGTATTGTCGCAGACGATATTAACACCACATTTTTTTGTATCAAAGGTCTCAAACATAAGTTGTCATATTTATACTCTTTAACGTTTTTTAATCGCTTTCTTATTCTTAACTTTTCATTAATTAGTACATTTTGTCCAAAATATGGTTCCCATTCAAAAATTCTATTAGTATGTTTTAAAACGAGACGCATATATTTAATTATGATTTTGTATATTTTCTGCTTATTTTGAAAATATAAAGAGCAAAAAATAAGTCTTTTTCCTCATTCTTAATGAAATTTTTGGACGGATATCAACATCACGAATAAAATGAGCTAATTACTGAAATACTAAAGATAAATGCAATGAAATAAATTTGGGGACAAAATGTGACGATAAGTAAAAGTTATGATCCTTTCATTCAATTAAAATGTGGTGAACTTATTTAAAAATATGGTTTTAAATATATTTAGCTCTTATTTGATTCTCATTATTTTTAAAATATATTTTTCTCTTTCTTATTTTCAACTACATATTCTCAATCAATCATTATTCTAAAATGCACTTTTAGACAGGAAAATGGGGCTCAAACAAGATCTTAGCCTTTAGAATATTATCTCCCAGCGTTCGACTCGTAATATCCCTACTTTAGCTCTATGCGAATGACTCTTTAGCACCTTAATCTCTAATCTAGCATTTGCTAATCACACATATTTTACCTTTACAATAGTGCTTCACATGCCGTTTAACTGACAATTCGAATGAATCTTGTCCAAAGGGATTGAGTTTGATAGAAACTTAAAAGTTGAGGACATGAGTGTTAAAAATTAAAGGTTGAGAATCCTTTTGCACAAATGTCGTAGGTTGTAGACTTCCACAAAAAATTTAGTATAAAAAGTTAAGGGACTAAAGTAAAATTTCAGCAGAAGTTTCGTGTCTTTTTTAACCCACAGAGAATAATATATTCTTCCGCGAGGAGGAAATGAATATCTTTACACGTTCGATTTGAACTGAGTTTCTTACTTTATCGAACTTTTCTTTTACCACTTTCCCTCGTGATTCTCAGATTAAATTTGTAATTATTCTCTGGAGACAGTGGATATTTTGATTTTAAGTTATTCCAAAATAGATTGAAAACTACCCAAATACTGCATATTCAAGTTGATTTTTTGAGCTAGGATTAGATGCTGAAATCGTCACTTCTACTTTAAGTTCCGTAGAACCACAGTAATAGAGATTCAAATCCTTTGTGCAGTTATGGCGGACAAATCGAGACCCAGCACGTTAAATGTTTACCTTTATGTACCCAACATCATTGGTCAGTATTTGAGCAATTTAATTATTTGTTTCAATTGATTTATTGTCTGTTGAGATGGTTATGAAAATTGTGCGCCGTAAAGGCTGCATCCGGCTTGGGGGCTTGTTGATACTAAATCTCTCTAACGGCGTAAGATAAGATTTTAGAGGAGGCTAACATTGTTCGCTTTAGTTTTAATTGATTTTCTTTTGGTCATTGTCGATGCAGGATACATAAGAATTATAATGAATTGCTTTGCTTTCGCCATATGCTTCAAGGACAAATATCTTTTCTCGGTTCTGTATTTTATTAGGTGCGGATCTTTTCACCATTTCCTTGATTTTTCCATTGAAGTAAGATCATTAAATTGATTGAATTTTTGAATGCCGGGTCTCTTTCAGCTTTGCGTGTGATGCATTAGATGGTTGGTTTGCACGCAAATTGAATCAAGGTATGGGTTTATAGATTTTCACTATTTAGTTGATGTCTGCTATAAATTGTTGTACTCAAGCTTCTTTTTGCTTGTGGGGTGGTGACAATTTGGTGTTTAGCTTACAGTTAGTCGGTTTGATTACATATTTAATGCTCCGAATCTGTATGAATTTTGTGTATAAAAATTATGTTGCTTTTATAAATTGAATGGTGAAATATTGATTATATGCTTTCATTTTGAAGTTTAATAAGTTTCATGGAACACTTCTCCAAAACAATGGACAGCCAGTGATTTGGGTGGTTGAAGCGTGGAGGTTGTAGGTTGAATGTCAATGGGTACCAAAACCAAATATTGAAGAAATTAAGTAATCAATAGAGAATCAAATCTGTGTGGGATATACATCAAGTATCAACTATTTCAACAATAGAACTACAAAGTAGAAAAAGCTCCTAGGAAGAAGTTGTTCACAGAAATTATGTTGAACTGAACTTCTTCCATTTCTGTTATGAGGCCAGTCTAATGTGTGTAAATCTATTAAGAAATTATGAAAATAACTTCTCAATCCTGCAATATGTGCAATCAATTGATTTGCTTTGTTCATTTCAGTTTCAACCTTTGGAGCTGTTCTCGACATGGTTACAGATAGGTAATCTATCATTTACATTTCTCTTATGAGCTATATTTGTCTAACTTAGGATCTCAGATGTCGATTTTCTTTGTCTACGAATTCCACCTTAAATTTGTGTTTTATCTCCCAGGATAAGCACTGCCTGCCTGCTGGTAATACTCTCCCAAGTTTATAGGTGATTTGCTTTACTTGTATTTATATCAATTGCTGTGACTACAATCCACTACATATTTGAGGTTCTCTTCCCAATTTCTTCCAGGCCTGGCTTCATTTTCTTGTTGTTGCTTGCTCTAGATATTGCCAGCCATTGGTTGCAAATGTACAGGTATTTACATTATAACACACTGTTTCTGTTGAATTTCTAACCTGAGAAACATTGCATTTAATTGGAGAGCTGTTTTTGCTGTGTGTGTCTTTATCGTACAACATTTATCTGTGTCCATGTCTCATGGATCTTCATTTATATTCGACTTACTTTCACATCCTGGGTATTGCAGTTCCTTCTTGGTAGGCAAAACTAGTCATAAAGACGTAGAGGATAGTAGCAGTTGGCTGTTCAGGGCTTACTATGCGAATCGCAAATTTATGGGTTACTGTTGTGTATCCTGTGAGGTGAATATCTCTTTGATCCTTCTAATTTCGAGTGATTTTTATGTGTAGTCATCTTATTGAAGTAATTTGGTCCACAGGTTCTTTACATTATTTTGTTTCTTCTAGCAAAGAAGCAAACCGAGAATTTGACTGATGTAAGCCTCATGCTTTCTTGTTCTCAGTAATATTTAGTCTCGTCTTCTGAAAATTTACCAAGCTTGGTTTTTTTCCATATACTTTCTTTTTAGGTTTTAGTGAACGCTGCAACGCAAAGTTGGATATACTTAACTCTTTTAGCTTTAATTCTGTTCGGATGGACAATCAAGCAATCAGTCAATCTTATCCAGGTAAACACACTGTATACTCAATATTTCTGATGAATGTTTACTCATATTCTTAGCTCTGTTGCAACCATGGCTCCACCGCCTCAATACCTCTTGAATTGGTTTCTCTTTATTCTTTCGAAATCATCTAATATAGTATATCTTTATATGGTACACTCGAGGCTTCATCTTTGATCACAGTGTTGTGACTCAATGATGTAGTCTATGCTCTTGGCTCAGAAAAAATATGTAATCTGAATGCAATTAATAATGAGTTCTTCCTTGTACACTGTATCAATAATATTGTAGAGGGAAAACTTGCTCCGAATTTGGATGTGTTCTTTGGTTTGGAGTAGAGTTAGCAGTCATGATCACTGAATCTTCCAGGCTTGATTATATCCTCCATATAATGTAACATATAATTAGTAAGTAATTAAGTTAGACTAGCAAGATCTAAGTTATCTGGAATTACCTTCAAATCATGTGTTGACTGGACATGTAGAAATGAAATCAAGGTCTACATTTGGTTTACTTCTGCACCTCTATGAATAATCTACAAATAAATAATTAATCATATGACTTATTGATGCAGCACCAACAGAATATTAAATGTAGAAAGAGAAGAACAATTAACAGGAAGAAGAAAATCAGCGGGGGAGGGGATGAAAGAAGAAGAAGAATCAATAGAAGGGGAAGAATAATGGGGGAAGAGAGAAAGCTTTCGCCACAAGCCACCAATGATTTTATTCAATCGTCAACTGAAAATTACAAAGCAAAGTATGTTTAAATAGTAAAGCAAACCCTAACGAGATTGGGTCCGAGCCCGTACAAGTCCAATTTTAATAGTCTAAGAAAATAAATAAAGCGCAACTTTGATAATAAAATAAATAAATATCCGATGTCCTCATCAACTCTCTCGGGATGGGAGAAAACTCGACCCTGTCGAGTGGATATATCACTATAGGCTGTCGTCAATCTCCCAACCATTAGTTGAGTGGTTGGGCAAGCTTCTTCCGACGTCTATAGAAATGTGTTAATGGAGGTCTGAACCTGGTGTCCTTACCAACTCCCCTTGGGTGAACGGGAGGTGATCTGGGCCAAAAAAGATCTTGCTGACTCCGATAAAACTCCAATAAATCTGGATCCAATTGCTGTAGTGTCTCTTTGGAGATCCATGTACAATCATAATCTGGTCGACCAACCCAACGAACGAGGAAGCGCTAAACCTCTCCATCATTAGTAAACACAGTTTCTTCATCTAAAATAGCATCAATTTTATCTGTGTGTGTTGTGAGAGGTGGTAGTGGGTTAAAAGTGACCAAATAGTTGGGATCAAGGTCTACAAAAGGAGGTGGCAAAAGATTATTTGAGGGAATGAAATGACCTTTATAAGCTACTAGGTCCTCAACATTGAAAGTAGAGTGGTAACCAAGATGTGGTGGAATGTCAACAACATATGCATTTGGACCAACTTGATTTAAAATTTTAAAAGGACCAGCACTACGGGCTTGCAATTTGAAGGCGAGTCCATGTAGACGCTGCTCGGGCCTATTGCGGACCATATCGTAATCCCCAACGTTAAACTCAATGTCGTTTATGCAAATCAGCTTGGAATTGATATTTTGCATTACTAGTTTCAAGTTGTTTATTGATATCAATATGCAAATCAAGAAGATGTTGTGCAAATGCTTCGGCTGATACTGACACTCTAGCTTGTGGGGACATAGAGATGAGATCTAAAGGTTTCCTAGGCTTGTACCCATGAATGGCTACAAATGAACTCATACCTAATGAACGATTTATGGAGCTATTATACGCAATTAGAGCTATAGGAAGGATCAAATCCCAATTTCGAAGGTTTTCCCGGACTAGACAACGTAATAGGCTACCAAGACTTCAATTAACTACTTTAGTTTGACCGTCAGTCTGAGGGTGGTAGGCCGTAGAAAATTTCAATTTGGTGCCCATCTTTTGCCACAAGGTCCTCCAAAATGGCTAGTGAAACAAACATCTCTATCGAGCACAATGGTCTTAGGAAGCCCATACAATTTAACAATCTCATTAAAGAACAATATGACCACCTTAGACGCATCTGAGATCTTGCTACAGGGGATAAAATGAGCCATTTACGAAAAACGATCAACAACCACAAAAATAGAATCATGTTTCTTTGGGGTGCGTGGAAGGCCTAATACAAAATCCATACTAACATCTTGTCAAGGACAATTGGGGACGGGAAGAGGGGTGTATAGGCCTGTGTTTTGCCTCTTCTGTTTGCTCAATTGATAAGTGTTACATGTACTAACAATCTTAGCCGCATCTTTCTTCAAGCTAGGCCAATAGAATTGACATTCAACTTCCTCTATGGTCTTATCACGTCCAAAGTGAACGGCTAACCCTTCCGCATGAACTTTCCACACTATGAAATCTCGCACGAAGTTTGAGGGATGCACAATTTATTGGCTCGAAAGAGAAAACCATCCTCAAGTCGGAAGCCATCTGTGGTGTTTGATTGTCCACTTTGCAAATCGAGAAAAATATCCTTAAAATCGGGACATGCCTTGTAATCCTCCTTAAGCCTTTCAAAACCGATGACCTTGACACTCATGATCGACAAAAGGGAGACACGATGACTTAATGCATCAGCTGCTTGGTTCTCTACACCCTTCTTGTGTTTTAAAACAAATGAATAGGCCTGCAAATATTCAATCCAACAACCATGTCTAGAGCTTAATCTTTTTTGGGAGTTGAGGTAACGGAGGGCCTCGTGGTCCAAATAAAAGACAAATTCCTGGGGGCAAGAAATAGTGGCGTCAATGGCACAAAGCTTGGACCACCGCATACAGTTCCTTATCATAAATTGAGTACCGTTGTTTGGCTTCATTTAACTTCTTGCTGAAGTAGGCAACATGGTGACGATCCTGACTCAAGACTCCAACTTTACCTACCCCGGAGGCATCGCATTCAACTTCAAAGATTTTGGAAAAGTCGCGAAGACGCATGACAGGAGCCTTCGTCATTCGCTTTTTGACCAACTTAAAGGCCTTAGCCGCTTCTTGTGTCCAATGAAACTCCCCTTTCTTCATGCATTCCGTAATAGGCGCCATAATAGTGCTAAACCCCTTGATAAAGCGACGGTAAAATGTAGCTAAACCGTGAAAGCTCCTGACCTCATGAATAGCTTCAGGCTCAGGCGAGTTAATAATCGCCTAAACCTTAGCAGGGTTAGCAGATACCCCTGTCGAAGAGACAATGAACCCCAGAAAAACGACTGTATCAATGAAGAAAGAGCACTTCTTAACGTTAGCATACATATTAGTTGCACGAAGGGTAGAGCAAACTTGTGTGAAGTGGTTATGGTGTTGCTACTTAGTGTTACTATAGATGAGGATATCATCAAAGTAGACTACAAGAAACTTACCCATGAAAGGTCGAAGAGTTTGTGTCATTACCCGCATAAAGGTATTTGGCACATTACTTAGCTCAAAAGGCATGACCAGCCATTCATAAAGACCATCTTTTGTTTTAAACGCGGTCTTCCACTCATCACCTGGGCGAATTCTAATATGATGGTATCCACTTTTCAAATCGATCTTCGAAAAGATTGTCGCACCAACCATCATATCTAGCATATCATCAAGTCTAGGAATGGGAAAACGATACTTCATCGTGATCTTATTGATAGCGCGACTATCCACACACATTCTCTAAGAACCATCTTTTTTTGGCGTCAATAGGGCGGGGACAGCACACGGGCTTAAACTCTCACGAATGAATCCTTTGTGAAGGAGGTCATCCACTTATCTTTGGAGTTCAACGTGCTCGGTAGGATTCATCCTATAATGAGGCAAATTTGGAAAGGATGCTTGGTAGAATTCATCCTATAATGAGGCAAATTTGGAAGGGATGCTCCTGGGACGAAATCTATAGCATGTTGAATATCCCTTAGAGGAGGTAGATGATCAGGTAGGTCCTCCGGAAAGACATCTCGAAACTCCAGAAGGATACTTCAGCAGGGCTTTCTATTGTGGAGTTAGATGAAGCCTCCATGACTACCAAGGCGAACACAATTGAGTCACCAACAAGTGTACGCTCAAACTCCGTAAGACTAATAATATGCAATTTCTTTCGTTCCACACTCTTCTTCGTTTCCAGTGGGCCAACAGGCTTTAGGGGCGGTGGGTCAAGGTGAATCTTCTTTCCATTAAACACGAAGGAGCAGGAATTGGATCGACCATAGATGGTTACATCTAGGTCAAATAACCAAGGTCGTCCTAAGATGATGTGCTCGACATCCATTGAAATGACGTCACACCATATATGGTCTTTATACTTTAGGAACTGGATATGGACTAAACAACGCTCCTTAATAGCTATAGAAGAGGTATCAACCCAAGAGACGATGTATGACTGAGGGTGAGGAATTAGCTTCAATCTTAGACGGGATACAGTAGCCATCGAAATCGCATTAATGCAGCTGCTACTATCCATGAAACTTTACAGCCCTTATTGTTAATCTTGATGTAAGTGTGGAAGATGGCATGACGGCGCCAATCATCGGCATCCCTAGGTTGGGTAAGAGTGCAACGGACGACACTGACTCTAGGCGTATGTGGGATAAGGGGACTAGCCTGAATACAACCTAAGAAGATATTTTCACTATCCTCCAAGTTATCAAACTCTTCTAACTTAGGCTCATAAACTTGGTCCTCTAATGGCTCGTCGACTATACCTTCACGCTCTTCTACAACTAGGGCTCGGCTAGGACACTTAGAAGAAATGTTACCAAAACCCTCACAGTTGAAGCATTGCAAACGGGAGGACGTCCTTGAAACCTCGGAACCTCTACCTTTGCTATCCAATGTAGGGGTAGTATTAGAAGGAGGGGGTCCTAGAATAGAGTTAGGGGATGGAGTGGATGCAGAAGAAGTTGCAGTGCGGGAGTCACTACGACTTCTATACGGTGTCCTAGTCACTAATTCGTAATCCCGAACGAAAGAGTAGGCGTGGTCAAGAGTGGTGACGCCTCTAAGGATAAGCTCACGCCTGAGATCATCTCTTAGGCCTTGCCTAAACTTACTCAAAGTCATGACCTCATCCTCGACGACTTGACATCTCATTCGAAACTCATCAAACTGCGCGACGTATTCGGTCACAGGTCGATTGTCTTGTGTAAGTGCGTTCCATTGGTCTAACAAGTTACCACTGTATGATTGAGGTAAATATTTTTCTTGAAGGCGACGCTTCATTTCATCCCAACTCCCAATAGGGGGAGCATGACGCCTCTCTAGGAGGTCCTCAACACTCTCCCAAAAGAGTTGAGCAATGTCAGTTAATTTCAAACTAACAAATTGTACCCTCCGATCTTTCGGGACTCCATACCAGGCAAAGAAGCAATCCATATCTCTAATCCATTGATTGAATACACTAGGATCTAGACAACCATCAAACGTAGGGGCATCTAACTTAATGTTTCGAAAGAGGCGCTCCTCGTGACGAGGGGGAGATTGTGTACCATGATGGTGATATTCCTACTTTCGTCCACGACCCTGATTTCCTTCCCTACAATCATATCTGGCGTGGTCTCGACTACCTTGTGGACAACGTTGAGGCCTATAAACGAAAATTTCAGAGTTTTCAGCTTCGGTCGAATATGGGGTTGGATCAAGAGTGTTCAACCTAGCGGCTAGGGCTCTTTTCTCCTCACGAGTGGCAGCTACCTCAATTTGGACAGCTGTTAATTGATTTTCTAATTGTGCTAATTGTCGGGTGAGAGCTTCAACTTGGGATTGATCCATAGTAAGGGTACTAGCACTAGAAACAGTAACACGACTACTACGCAATTGCATACAAAGTAACGCTAGCTAGGTGAAGTGCACTACTGAGATCAATAAACAATGGATACCAACAGCAAAATAGCAATTTGAGCTTTTCTTTTATTATTATTATTTTTTTCTTATTTGTCTAAAAATGGGATTACGTAGGTCCGAATGTAGCAAGCTAATAATACTGATGCAAATAAAATAGAAAGCAAGGATACAATTGACTATTCGAAATGTCTGAATATGTGGGGTAATCGGGAAACAATGAGAGTTAATTCACGAATTTCGATCTAGTAGGGTGTAAGGCTATAATTAGCAAATAATAGCAACACTAATATTGTAACTGATGCAATTTTAAAATGAAGCAACGGTATAAACAAAAGATAGATAAGAAGAGTGTCTCCTTGCAGTTCGGTTGGGACTCCCAGTATTCCGATTGGTTTGAATTGTCAACGTGTGGGGCTCCAAGTATGTTTCTGTCTTACTCCTCGCTTCAGTTGCCTTTAACTGTAGAACACTCTCCTGCTGAATTGTGATTCATACTGTCTTGACTCTGATTCTGATGTGGTAGGGGCTACAAATAGTAACCAATTTCACAATAAATTGTCTCTGACTCCTTTGAATTCCTTGAACAGTTGCTTGAAATTGATTGTGGTGATGTGGTGGCGGTTGCTTTGACAGTGATTTGTGAATGAAAGATGAGTGGTGTGTTGAGTGAATTATGGTTGTGGTGGTGGCGACTAGTGTGGCAGTGTATGGGGCTTGGGTCGGTTTTGGGAGAATTGGTGCAGGTTAAGTTATTACAAGTCGATTGTGGTGGAGGGTTTCAGGTGCGAGACAGGGAGAGGCAGGATGTGGTATTGAAAGTGGCAACAGAGGTAGATAGCGGAGAGTTGATGGCTTGTAGCGCGCTAGGGTGTGCCGGTGTGGGTGGCGTCTGCAAGTGACGCTGCTAGGAGAGCACCGGCGATCGAGGCTGACGATGCGTCACGAGGTTGTGGGGTGGTTTTGGGGTGCAATTGTGGACTAGCAAGTTTTAGTAGAGAGAGTAACGGTGGGTGTGGCTACGTGGTGGAGTTGGTGGTCGAGGCGATGGATTGGGTCGGATGGGAATGGTGGATTGGGTCTTGATTATGTGGGTAGATGGTTTACTGGGTTGGGTTAATATATAGTGAATGGGTTGGGTTTGGTGTGTGCTGGACTTGAAAGTGGATTGGGATTGGGGTTATGAGCTGAGTGAGTTTAGGATTGGGATTATGTGGGCCTATTGTTGCTAGGGTTTCAATGTAGGCTAGAATTTATGGAACATCACTATTTATCTAGCAGCCAATGAGTATTTTTTTTCAGAAACTGTAGAGAATGTGAAATAGAAATTTCCGGGTTTGAATAGTACCCGTGAACAGTACGATGAACTTTTTTTTTTTTTTTTGGAACAACTATGAAGAAGCTGGAAGAAAATAGTAATAATAAATCAGCTGCTCACGCTAAAATTTATTTGTTTGTGCTGTTCCACAAGTTCTTAGGAAAGAAATAAGAAGAAAATTTTGGATTGGAGATAAGAAGAAATGTCCAACCTGGCTCTGATACCAAATTTGATGTAGCACCAACAGAATATTAAAGGTAGAAAGAGGAACAATTAACAGGAAGAAGAAAATCAGCGAGGGAGGAGATGAAAGAAGAAGAAGAATCAATAGAAGGGGAAGAATAATGGGGGAAGAGAGAAAGCTTCCGCCACAAGCCACCAATAAATTTATTCAATCGTCAACTAAAAATTACAAAGCAAAGTATGTTTAAATAGTAAAGCAAGCCCTAACGAGATTGGGCCCGAGCCCATACAAGTCCAATTTTAATAGTCCAAAAAAATAAATAAAGCGCAACTTTGATAATAAAATAAATAAATATCCGATGTCCTTATCAACTCTTTCGGGGTGGAAGAAAACTCGATCTTGTCGAGTGGATATATCACTATAGGTTGTCGTCAATCTCCCAACCATAAGCTGAGTGGTTGGACAAGTTTCTTTCAGCTTCTGTAGAAATGTGTCAGTGGAGGTCTGAACTTGGTGTCCTCACCACTTATAAAGTAAGAAGAAGACTATTTTCATGACAGTAAACTATTGGTAGAAGTGGTAATTTGGGTGCCCGATGCTTGGGGGTGGTTTATGAGAAAGGCCTTTGATTGCAATAATTTCTTTATATATATATATAAAAGATAAAATGAAAACAAACATTGCCCATTATTTGTTACCCTCATCCTTTTTCACCATTTGAAATGCTAGAATCGAAACAGTTGCCATTTTTACTCATTCAAACCCAGTCAAATCTTATTAATCTAAACACATTCAAACCTGGCCCTTCCTGCCACTGTTTTTGCTAAAAAAAGCCGATAATATTCATTGTTAATTAGTATTATTAACCATGCTAGGATGAAGAAGAGCATTACTATTGACCTCACGAAGTACCCTATCAAAAATTTGTACTTTTCAAGGTTATTTGGTGCTTTAGTGAACTTTATTGTGTCTATATCTATATTTTTGGGTGAATGTTGATGATGATGGTGTGATTTTGATGGTTCCGGTACTCACCAATACTAGGGTTTTTTTGGATTTTTTAAATGTAAAAGGCCTTCTAAAAATTCTGGATAAACTTCTTCAGGGGTTCCCAACTCTTCATAGTAGCCATTCTCCAACCTCCATTTGTGGCACCCATGTCCTCAACCTTTTAAAATTGCATGCTTCAATAATCCTGCCTGACAAAAATTGTCTATTTAGACATTAAATGGCCACGTGACCCTTAGGTGTGTCTGACTATAAAGGTGAAATTGTTCAAAAAAAGAGCAACATTTAATGGAAGTTGAATAATCATGGTTTGGGCTTGGAATACATGAAATCCTTTTTTTGGATAAATTTACCCTTTTAATTACACATCACGTGCATGTCGGAAGGACATTTAGCTCCTGTTTGAATCCCACTTTCTAAAATTTCATTTTCAACCACACATTTTATCAATAAAATAATGTTGCATGTAAATCCAAAATTTTTCCCCATTTTTTAATCACACATTTTTTTTGAAAAATTACTGTTACAAAACTCATTTTTCGCAAAAAAAATGGGGATCAAATATTTAAGTAGACATTTTCTGTTAAGCGGGGATACAAGTCGCAGTGTGTTAAAAGGTTAAGGGTCAAGGTGCCACACAAGAAGGTTGGCAGTCTGTAGGAATTTACAATAAAATCTATAACTAAGGCCTTTAGTCACTTTGCCCCCCTTTGTCTAGGCCTATGTCTTAAATTCCCTGTCTATAGGACCAGCACCAATTCAAAGATGAGCTCTTGTCAAATGATCCTATTTTACTGGGACAAACTAGTTACTGTATTAACCTCTTCATTCAAAATCCTGTTTCAGCTCCTGTATAATTATGAATGAATTTAATGTAGATTATTTAATAAGTATTTCTGATTTCCAGTTTTCATTGCAACAAGTCTGTCTTGTTACACGTGTACAAGTAAATTTTAACATTATTGACTTGTTTGAGAAAATATGTGATCTCTTTTCAGCCCCACATTTGTTACATGTCCTCATGACTAGTTTGAAAAAGATGGCTCTCTTGAAAAGCAGTTGGGATTTTAAACTTGATTGATTTGACTCCACTGTGTCCTACTTCCTAACTAATTACAGTGCCTTAATTTACTGTGACTATATTCATTGTGTGATGACAGATAAAGACTGCAGCAGATGCATGCATACTATATGACATCAACAAAAAGCAAAAGGATTAATGTGGTATAATAGCTAATTGGAGAGCTACGTGTTGCAGGCAGTCGTCGTTTACCAAATGATGTATTTTTGTTCTCTTCCAGAAGAACTTTAATTCCATATTGGTTGCTATGTGGACCTGCAATTTGGATCGAGTTGAAAGTGTGGAACAGTTGAACTTTTTTTTTTTTTTTTTTCAATCAGTCAATCTTCAATTATGTGGCCGAGCACGTTTGAATATTTGCATAGTATATTTTGTACAGCTCCTCTTGGAAATTGACCTGTTTTTTGAACAGTTGTGTCGTAGGTGAAATGTTCTCTTGCCGTTTGTTCTATCTTTAGAGTTGCTCCCGTGAAATATCATTTGACTAATATGTCCCAACATTTTGAAAATAGGTATGCCAATAGCAACACCGTCGTCTCCCATTTAGACTCGAATGGAAAGGGGGACTTCGAAAAGCATACTATGCATTCGTCGTGCAGGGTAATGCAACTAAGCTCTAAAAGGTTGCAGATATGACAAGAAGCTCAATCGAGCCCGTTATTGGAAATTCACTCCAATCACTATTTATTTGAACCTTCGAGCATCTTTTATGGCATAGGTCTAGCATGGGTTAAAGTGATTCTCTATATTTTGTCATGCCTGTAGTGGAAAGTTTTTATCTTGCTCAGTGAAGATAAGAGATCAATTTCATGCAAACAGTCCCTTAAGAAGCCAATAATTGAATATTTTTCAGACAGTTTAAAGTAACAATTTAAGACAAAAATCTTGTCAAGATACAATGCTACAAATATGATCTTTTGCTTCCCTTAAAGGATTTATCCCTCTCATAATAGTTCTACAACTGATGAAATCTCCAACATAAATCAATACAGGCTAAATCCGAAAAGTTGGCTAATCAAGAGTGCAAGACCTAAAGCAATGGCAACAAGGGACGATGCCCAGGTGAGCTTCTCGGTTATCCTGGGGACCCTATCCTTAAGTGCTTGACTACACGAGCCTATAAAGACGGTATAGCTTCCCATAGCGATAACCGTTCCAACCAAGAACATGCATAGAAACGCAGCACCAGCCAATCGAGATGGCAAAGCAAGTGCAGGCAAGATCATCATCAGAGCATCAGGTTGTAATCCATGGACAATTCCCGTAGCAAAAGTTGCAAACCCGATCTTCTTCTTCCCGACAGAGGTATTCTCGAGGGCTTCATAAATGATAACATCACATTCACCATTTTCTAGTGCAACACATGGGGCAGGGACTTCTGAAGCTTCCTTGATCCCCATAGCACCAATTACAAGAAGAGTAAAGCCCACAACTCGTGTACCCCAGGTTCGGATAACTTCAATGTGAAGCCGATCCTTCAAAAGTAGAAAGAGTAACCCGAATATTACCTGTCCAGCATCATGGCCACATCCCCATAGAGCTCCAACTGCGGCACTTTCCATTCTTGTACGACCTATTGAAAGCGGGGCCAAAGCAGCAAGGTGGTCGGGACCAGATAATGTGTGCAAGCATCCGGCAAAGAAGCCGGTCCACGCACTGCTCAATAACTCACTACGAATAAGTCGACTCCCTGCTGCCGCAGCAACGGGTCCTCCGGTCTTGGCTATACTTTGAAAACTAGCTAAAGCTGGTGACACAACAACAGGGTGGACCAGTACCAAAAAGACCGCTGAGATAAGTAGTACTGTTCCAGAAGTAACCACCTGAAACATATTTGACAATGTTATGTCAAAATATAGGGCAAAAATCTTTACCATATGTCAATTTACAAGATTATAACATTAGAATAATGAGTGGTATAGGTGTCAAATTACTCGGAAAAAATATTACTTAACCAATCAAATGCTTTTATCCATATCTACAGGCACAAGTAGGGTACTGATTACACGGTCATGTTTTGCATTGAGTAATAAGTAATAACTATATTTTCTCTTGATTTCCACAGGATTGGTTTACTCTGATACACAAAAATCATATAAAGTTAACCATAGAATACATTAGATGTAAAGGAGTGATTGAATCTTAGTGCCTAACTACTATCACATCATAAGAAAATACAAAAAATTGAAAAGATTTCCTCAGCTCCATTTATCGATTGTCAAAAACAGCAGCAGGGCAAAAACCAGAAGCCAAGTTCAGTAACTTGCTAGAAACTTTATAGTCCATCAAAATAGATCTCTTAAACATATATCAAGCTCGATCTTAAGCTTGAAAAAGGTTTGTCAAAAAAGTCTGACTCTGACCAACCCATTTCAGGATTAAAATAAAAGTTAAGTATAGAATCAAAAGTCTTGTCTAGGACAGAAGCTAATTTTCGGAATCTTCCAAACTGAATGGCTAGCTAGATAGAGCATTTGAAAACATAATATTTTGACATGCAAAATTGAAGTGCATGCACAATTTTTCTGCACAAATACACTCGAGAATTGTGCTATCAAAAAACCAAAGTACTACAATAAAAAATTTCCTTTGTGCATCAAGAAATCATATAGAACATTTGAAAAGACTCACCAAGAGGATAATTTGGCGAGTGGAATCTTCCTATACAAACTGCAGTTCTGACTTTATAAGGATCTTTCTTTTAGGATCATGTAATATACAATCTTCTGCTTCATCTGACAAATTTCATAAACTTAATCCAATCCATTCAAAGGATTGAACGTGACTTGACAATTGACATGCCTCCATACAAAAATCTAGAAAAACCTCAAACACCAGAATACTGACAGAACTAGATGTGTTCAGAAGCACGACGTAGAGCACATAGAGAAACTTCTACTAGAACTTGAGTTGTTATATTTCTCAACATGCATTTATACAATGTTGGTGGCATATTTTCCTCTTGCAAATACATGCACAGGCATAAAAATCGAAGAATTACAATGGTGCTTCAGAGCTCACTTGATTCAGAAAATGCAATTAAATAGAAGCACTCCCGTACGAACAATATCTTAAGCCAAACAAGTACATAAGAAAGAATAAAATATATCCAACACAAACCAATATTTATTTATCCACCTTCCCAGATGTTGCACCTTCAGAATAAGTGTCAATAACAAATTACTGTCTTCAAGGGGATTCCATTCAATACTAATGTAGAAATAAAGAAAACTTCACAATAAACTAATGCTACCCCTTAGATGAAGCAAATAGTACCAAATATCCTCTACTGGACACCAATTATTCTTGCTTTAATTTTATTGTTTTATCGGCATTTCTTCATATAGTGGACGATAATTCAAAAAAGAATTGAAGACAGAGAAATCTGAAAAATAATAATAGGATTAAAATTCCCATGGCATTAATACCTTTTGCTGCTCAGAGAATGTTTGGGCGATTCGTTTAAGAAAATGGGGCTTGGAATGTGCCCCATCAGGTAAATCCGCAGAACTCAACAAAATTTCCGGATATGTGTCTAATGAATTCACAGAAAGAGAGGATGGGTCATGGAGTTTGCAGGATAGCGAGCTCAATTGGCGCGATTCAGAGCGTGGGAAGGAAGAAAAACCGATTCTTGACGCAGAATGGACTCGGAGGAGAAGCGGGCAAGATGGCTTAAGGCTGTGGATTTTAGAAGGAACTGAATTGGAATAAATAAGCCTCTCCATATCAAAACTGAAACCACCCACAACCTATGAGTTTCTGGGGAATTGTTTTACTGGGAATTTGAACGAATTGACAGATTTTCAGAGGAAAAAAGGTCTTGCAGGAGAAGGGCAGGTGGGGTGGCAGAAAGAGGTGAAGGGATGAAGGGATAACATACCTAAACTGTTCTATGAATCTACCAGTTTGGTTGGCAGTTTAACTGTATATTGAAATTTTTTTTATTTTTTTTTCTCCTTTTAATTCCTGCAAATGCATAGCAGCATAGGAACATATAACGATCCAAGTGGTAAAAGGGGAGGGTGGAGAAATCCAACTTTACTTGAGGTTGCTGCGTCAATGGTTCGAATCCTGAAATATGAATTTGGCTCTTGGGTAAGTGCAAGTGTACAAGCAGCCTTCCACCTTATACCCTTTGAGGCATAACCTGTAATTTACCTCCCTCACGATACTTCAGGGTAGGGGTGGTGGGGGATCCTTAAGGGTAGGGTTTAACCTTTCTCTCTCTCTCTCTTTTTTTTTTTTTTTTTTTTTTTTTTTTTATAACGATAAAATTTGTTGATTACTACGTCTAACTAAAACGTTTAAAAAGGTACCGTAGAAACGTCAACTTGAAAGCGTCAGACTCATATTAGTTGGGTTTGATTGACCCGTACAACTTGATCACAGAATGACTTCAATTTTCATTTTTTTTTAAATTCCATTTTTAATTTTACATTTTATCAACTCTTAATCCTATAATTCATACATTCATCAATTTTTATTAAAATTTATTTAAAATAAAATTGCCAAACCAGAGAGGGCCAATCACACCTCCTTTTTAAACCTCGAAGTATGAATGTCTAAAATTATTTGGACTTGATTGACTTTTACTTTTTATTTAAGCAGTTAATAAAAATTTTAGCATATTCTAATAAAATTTGATGAAATGTATAATTATAAAGATGATAAAAGTTTTGAATCTCATAAAATAATGATTAAATTTGAAATTTGACCAATTGAAAAATTGATTATATTTTAGCATAGTTTTGATCGTGAATTTTGATTTGTGAGCCTCTACAATCGAACGCGGATTTAGGTTGGGGCCAATTCCAGGAGAAGTTGTATTTGAGATGGACTTTGAGGCCACTCGTACATGGATTATCTCGAACATTTTGAAAATTTTGGGGGTATAGATTGCAACGTAACATGAAATTAGTACATATGGTAGTTTTGCAATGGATACACTTAAATTTAAATATTGATAAGTAATTAAGCATGTATTCAAGGTTACTTATTTGACATTGACCAGTTTAAGGGAAGTTGTGGTCTGATCGTGTCCACAATATACATTAGAATAAGTGGTGGTGCCTTTCATATCTTACTTTATGATCATGCTTCACCAAACTTCAATATGTTTTCAGTTACATTATAATTATTATTTTTTCCTTTAAAATTTTAAAATCTTGACATACTGTTAATAAAAATAACTTATTTATTTTCAGTTCTAATCAATTAAAAAATTATGTATTTTAAAATTTACTTTTTAAATTTAGCGAAACAAGCAAGAGAGCTTTTTGTGATTTTTGGAATCTAAAATTAATCTTAAGATGCTTAGGTTAGCGAGGAATTTTAAAATAGCGAGAGTAGGGGGGGGGGGGTAGGGGGGGTGATTTTTATTCATTTCATACATGGAGTTTTATATATTTTTAAGAGAGTTCTATTGGTAATTGAAGTTTAAGTCTCAATCTCCTATATGGAATATGTAGTCACACTTTTAAATTTTTTGTATAGTGAATAACATCGTCTTGTTGTGTGCAAAATATTAATTTTGTGCTTTTAAGACAGAATATATGATTATTTTGGTTTAGCTCTATTATAAAATTAATGCCCACGTTGCATATGTTATTTGTTAAAATGATCTTTAGGTTTGATCTTGTAGTATATCCATGTTTATGAATACTGAGACAACGACCTCACAACGAAGAGTGACTTTGGATCTTCAAGAACATACGACGAGCCCATTATGATCTCTAGACTCCAGCCCACCTCTAAATGTGGAGAAAAAGATCTATAATGAGAATAATTACCCACAATCAATGTTTAAAAATTATGAATAAATAGTAATGAGCGGTGAATAATATTTGTGCGCACCTCAAATATGTTGATAAAAAATGAATGAAATATTTATAAACAGTCTATTAACATTAGATGAACATAGCTTCACCCAAATGATATACTTGTTTATTTTCCAAGAGGCATGTGGCATATAGTGCCTTCAACTGCCTTTCACAATCTTGCAAAGACACCAATTCTAACAGCGCAACCAAACGATAAGACTATGGCAACAAAGACGATGCCACCTGAAAGTTAAGAAAGAGTTTATTGACAAGTTTTCTGTTTAACACTCAAAATTATGAGAATGGAGGGAAAACAACAAGTAATTTGTACAACTAGATCACTATCACAAAAATCCAACCATACTTGTGTTTCGTGAGGCTTGCAGTGAACTTTAGAATTTGAGCTTCTAAATTATAGTAAGAAATCATTTATTTATTTATTTATAAGAGTTTTATGGAGCTAAATTTATTTACTTAAAATCAACAACAAAATAAAATATTCATAATATTTTTATTATCAAATAATATTGTGAAAATGTTCTAAATGATCACTTAAATAAACTCGTCTTGCAATTTTAGAGGCAAAAATATCAATAAATTCTGAATAGTCAAGTTGTTCAATTATTTCTTTTTCAATGGATAATATGGTAAATCCATTCAATCTTTGCTGTGATATAGTTGATCGGAGATAAATCTTAATCAAGTTCTTTCAACTGATGCAACTGTAATTGGTATAGTTAGCAAAATCTTATAAGCAATGCAAGAATTTGGAAAATAACCATTAATTTTCTTCAAGTATTGTAGCACAACAATTCCTCTTTTTGTTTCTCTAGGTAAATAGCATTTCGAAACTATCAACTCTGAATATAAGTCATCACCAATAATGTTTGAATGTCCATTATATTTCAAATATTGCTCAAGATTCTCACAAGATTTCAACAAATTGTAAACATGTGTACTCTTTAACCTCTCAAAATTAAACAAAAATTCAAATGTCTCTTCTTAATGTTTAAATTATTCAAAAAGAGTTTGAAGTGAAGATCGAGCTTGATCAATTATAAAGAGAATATAATCAACTATAAAAGATTCTTCGGGTGATTTTGTTACATTTTCAGTATTGCTTTCGTCAAAATGTTTCTTTCTTCAAATATTGCATTTTTCTCAAAATACACTTCAATTCACATTGTCAATTGCCATTTGTTTAGCTTTATCCATGGCACTGGCAATCCCAAATTCTCTATAACTTTCAAGAAACAGAATAAGTGCTTGTAAAAGCTTGATGACTTCATCAATATCCATGTTTTCGATTTGAAAAAAAATATTGATGCAACAACTTATACCAAATTATCATGTCAAACAAGAACTCAAAATTCTAAAATTCATATACTGCTAAGGACTCAACTTTACTCTTTGTCTTAGGATATTCATCAATGTTTGCCAAGTCAAGTAAAACATTTCTTGTTTGTACAGATTACTCTTTTATAGGCTTAACACTTTCTACTTGACATTTCCCAAAAAAAAAATTCATTGTTTGGGAGAAGAAGAGAACATTGTGTAGATGTGTTGTGTCGCTTCAAGGAATGACATAACTTTAGAACAATAATTTGCCGTGTGACATAATGCTAGATTAAGGTTATGACAACCACAAAAGCTCTAAGATTTATTTCAAATAACCTTTTTTGTACACCTATGTTTTCCGCTCATATTAGCTCCATTGTTATTTCCTTGACCTCTTATATTATCAATATTAAATTCAAGTTTATTTACATTTTTAAGTTTAGCGAAAAGTCCAAGTCCTGATGTATCACCCACCTTCAAAAACTATATCCATTATTCTTGTACCATTGTTGAGTTTATTTAATTGTCTATGCACCATATTACTAGAGTTGTTTGCTCCTCATGATTCGTGTTTGGAGTACAATCAAGTATGATAGAAAAATATTTTGCATATTTTATTTTTGTGACAGTTGCACTTCTTACCTCGCCTGCCAATATTTGTATCAATTTATTTTGAATCTTAGGACCAAAATATATATACTGAATTTCACGTGCTTGAGCACATCAAATGTGTTCTCCCATTACTGGATCAAATTAAGCAATTATTTCTATCATTTGCAAAAAAGTCGATTGTTCTCAACATAAAATTGTTTACAATCTCCTCAAAATGTCAATATTTTTAGCAAATCTTTTCACAATAGCAGTTTTCTTCATTAACATTTGTTTCCAGTGCTCTCTTTCTTTGTTGATGACCAATTGTATGCTTTCGTCAATCGTATATCTATTTGAAGCTTATTTTTCAATTCCATCCAACTAGTAATACAACCTAAATGTTCCTTAACCACTTCATGTTTTGTAAGACATCGACACAAATTATGCCAATCTTTTTTCATCATTGCCCAATTGACTAATATTTTCATGTCTTTTTCTGTCTTAAAAAGCCTCTCATCTTTTGATCAATTTGATGGTCCTTACAGTTTTTAGAATCATCAAAATTCAAAGAAAAACAATTCTTGTGATTTCAATCTTCATATTGAACATTGTCTTCATCATCCTAGTTTGAATCATTTACATTGGTATGTTCAATCATTTCCTCATTTTCTTTCAATACATATACATTATCATTATCATTCTAATTATGTTGTTCCTCAATCACCAAATTTTTTGGTGTACCTTTTCTTTTCTTGCCATTAAAATACTTATCAATATCTCCAGCTTGGCTTTAAATTAATATCTCTATTCTTTCTCTCTACTTCTTTTTTTGAGCTCCGGAGGCAGATTTAGGAGCCATTGTATATTGATAGTTGACTCTATAGCAAACACAAATTGAAATTTGAGTGTAAAAAGGAGATCATATTAGTTTAAGAAAGAAAGATTAAAAGATATGTTTTTTTTTTCTCAAAACATCATCCGCAAATAACATACAAATGAAAATGTTTTCATTCACAATCTTGTGTAACTCGTTTAATCACCAGTTGTAAATTAAATTATCTGCCATAAGCTGGAGTTCAAAACTGAAAACGGAGGAACACACTAACAAAGCAAAACCCACTACTAAAACATCAATTATAAATATTATATTCCTTCCAAAATCTTAATTTATGTCAAGTGAAACAATTTTCATTAAAA